GAATTTTCAAGATTCACATGTCAAGATTTATGTAGTTTAGAGCAGTTCTTAGGTGTTTGAAAGCAATGTCAAGAGGACGCATCAAAAAGGATGGTTACCTTAGTATCATTCTATCAAAGAATTGGTGTTTATTAATAAAAAAAAGGATGTAAACCATTTTAGCCACCCTAAACAGATGCCAAAATTTCATGACCATTAAGAACAAATACACCATGGGTCATACCAAATGAATATGAATTGGAGATGGATGAGCCAAGGCTTTAGAACTCACTTCCAAGTTTGTCAACTTTTTTTCCATTTATCAAAGCATTCAGCATCTAACAGACTCTGAACAGCTTTTAAACACAAGAAACAACTCCACGTGCCATTTTAAGACTTATGTAATCAAGTTGGAATTCAACAAAAAAGTTATGATAATTATATGAAGAAATGAAGTAATTATAAACTAGAAATATATTAATACTTGTCAATGAGTTTACATCAGCTAGACAGTTAGGTAGGCTCAAAATGGTTTCATTAACTTCACAAATTCTTTGACGGATTGTGGCTATCCACAATTTTGTTTGTTTCCTCGGAAAAAGGTGCCAGACTATTTCTCAAAAGTTGGAATCATATGTAAGCTGAAGGGACTATATATGTATTAAGAACTCACTTCTCTTATTAAACCAATTTTACAATGATAATATGTGTTACATTGGTAAAAATATTGACATACCAAATGCCCCATGGTTTACTAAGTAAACAAAACTAACAAAATAATCTAAACTAAAATTTGTCTCAAGCGCTGGCACTGAGTATGTACATAGTATTTCTCAGAAATAATGAGTTGGTTTACAGCTAAACAGTGGTAACAAGGGGGGATATACCATGTAACACCTGCACGTTTGAATGGTCTTGAAACTTCTACCCAAAATAAGATAGCTTGTTTACATTCTATGAATTTATAAATGCCCTTCTCCTTGTCATTGAAAACTACAATAGTGACTTTTAATTTATTTTTATTGACAAGCAAGCTTAATATACAGGAAGTTAAAAATCAGAAATGATTTGCTCTGTCGCCTGATGTTTTGTTTTTGTTTTGCTTTACTTTGTGAGTTTTTTGTTTATTTTATTTACTTTTTTTGTGAACAGCTCATTATCTATGGAGTTATCCTGGTAGCTTTAAATATGAACAAGTATTTAGGCTATAAATTCTGAATTTAATTTAGGAAAAATCCTCTACACATAATTCAATGCTATAGAATATTATATGATATTTTCTAGAAAAAATAAATTAAATGATGAACAAATTAAACGAATTTGGAGCAGAAAGTTACTAAATCATAAATCCAGTTCAGACAGTGTCAAAAGCTTCTCAGCAAATACCAGAAAACCATATTTTGCAACCTCAAAGGGTCTTCAAGTATATCCTGTGAGCAGAAACATCAAAGAGAATTTAAGTAATTATGTCAAATCTAGATCTGAACAAAAGAAAGAACATTTTGCAAAGTTCTTGGTGGTCATGATCAAACCTACTGGAATCTTATAGCAGTCCTCTTTTTTTTTTCTCAGATATACATCTGTCAATAATCATAGACTGTACTTATGACCCAAGAATCTTAAAAGTTCTCAATGTAAAGAGATTCAGTATGTTATAACCCTTAGCAAAATCATTGAAATCAATGAAATTTACCAGTACATCAAGTTATTAATCTACCAATAATTGTTGTTAATGTTGTTGTTTTGTGTCAACAAACTATGCAAAGGACAATTCAGGAATTTGAGAGGGAGTATGTCTGTGGCTTAGTGTTCAATGAACCCCTTCACTTTCAAAACATTTTTCCACCAATGTTCATGATGTCATTTTAGAGTCCAGGCACTATGTATTCATGCATGCATAGTTGAGAGATTGCAAGCATGAAGCTTTTAAATTTATAATTTAGTGCTCACAAAAAAAAAGAACCAAAATGCAAAGGTAAGGTGAGGTAGTTTTAACTAAAAGTCCCTACACATTTAAACTTCTATATGAATTGAGAAACAGTATGCAAACTATAGTGCTTATACTTAAGGTAACTAGTTAGAATGTTGGATTACATAATGAAGTCTATAACACCTCTTGAAGAGTTGGATCAACGTTATTGCGCTGTACAAAATTGAACACTAATTCAGCAGGTAAAACATAAGTGAAATTGTATGGTGAATTCGATTCCATCATTGCAAAATACATTTCTCCCGCCAATTTTTTTGTATTTAAGTTTTTGGCACTTCTGGTTGCTCCATTCTGCACATCAGAAACAGCTACTGTTTCCATTGAATCCTCCACCATTTCTTTTATTTTTTCTAGTGTTAAGAGGTGTTTGATGTGCTGTTCTTTCACAACTCCAACCACCTTTAATTTACCATCTTTCCAACGCAACACTGGGCTCCCTGAATTACCAGGGCTAGGTGAACAGCTTATAATGGTTAATAGAGGTCCATACCGTTCTCCAGTTTCCCCAGAGACTCTGCCCTCTACTAAAAGAGCTTCTTTCCCCGTATGGTGAATGGGGTAGCCGAAGCAGAAAACCTTCTGGCCGGTTAGCAATGGCTCATTGGACAACTGCAATGAACGTATTTCTGAAATTTTCTTCCAGAAGAGTTTCGAACAATTCAGAGAAGCTAGATCATTGCGAGGATCCGAATCCGCAACTTTGCAGGGTACGTATATTCCACCAATGACTTTATTAGAAATATAGATTCTGTTTTTCTCTTTATCGCGAAGATAATCGTCAATCACATGTTTGTTGGTGACAATAGTACCATCTTGGATTATAAACCCTGAGCCGTAACTCACTTCCGTCTCTGAGATGGCATTTTCATATTCAGCCTGAATTGAATCCCTTGCATCGTCAACCGTCTTTTTCTTTTCATCGTCGAGTTTTTCTTCTTCTCCGTACTTTTCAATCAACTTTTTGTTATCAAAATTGTCAATAGCAGCTTTGATTTCAGAGATGTTATAGGTATTTTTTCGCTCTGGAAAAATATCAGTATCCCCTGAAACGGTACCAGCGAAACAATCTCGTAATCGACGTTCAGCCTGACTGTGGGAATATTCACGTTGTACAAATGGCTTTTCTTTGGCTTCCTTTTCCTCTTTGATAAGCTTTTCCCTATTTCCATCGATCAAAGTTATTAACTCTTCAGAGCCAGGCCCTTCGTCCTCTGGATAGGTGAGAAGGTTTCCACATTTATCAATGTCCTTAAAGGTGTCGTAAATTTCAGTGATCGTGTACATTTGTCCGGCCGGCTTGCGTTTTAGAAGCTCTCTATCTCCAGCAAAGTTCCCAGAAAAGCAATCCCTCACTCTGCGCTGCGCGACAATCCAGGAATATTCACGTTGTGCATCGGGGTAACGCCGGGCCTCCGCGAGCTCTTTGGCGACATCGGCTCTTCGCTTGTCGATTAATTCCTTCGATTCTTTATACGCTGGACCATCAGATTCTTCCGGGTATTTGGCAACGTAACTGATTTGATCAAAAGAAAAAAGCGCCTCGCGAATTACAATAATGTTGTATGTTCTCTTCATTTTCGAAATATCATGTCCTTCACGTGAATCAAACAGTGCGAGCTGATCGAAGAAAAACCATGAGATAAATCCTTGAGGAACGCTTCCTCCATAACAAGTTTTTAATTTTTTTAGAGCTGTATCTCGATCATATTTCTTTAGGCTTTTTTGTTCTGGATCAAGGCTGCAGATATGCACCTTGACACATGAATGAATAGCCTCTCTTCCACCAGCAACAGGCACATCGTAGTCGGCCATATTTTGAAGTTACAACGCATAAATTTTGGACTCTTGCGTCACTTGTTTACACGTTCACCGCTCTAACGCATGTGATCTCCTCGTGGAAGAGTTATTAATAGAGTAGTTTAGTTTGGATAGCCATACTGGACAAAAATAATTTAAATAAATAATCAAAGAATAATTTTGTTGGCCGAGAAATAATTTTGTCTTTCGAGATATATTTTCGATGGTCCAGAAATATTTTGCTTAGGAATATTTTTGAGATGGTCCGTTTCGACTTGTCGCGCCGGAGATGACCTCCTTCTGACGGATATCGGAATAGACCCATTTCAAGCGTGACGTCACATCACGTGACTTTGCGAACTGAAGGACAACAAAATGTTGCCACGCGTTACGATCGAAAAGAGCAATAAGGCAAAGTATATTAATATCCCACGCTTCGTAATCGCTTTCGCCGCCATGTTGTAAACAAACTGAAGCTTGTCCTCCAGTTGGCAATGTTAAGTGATGTCACGTCACGCTGGAAATGGGTATATACGCTTTCCACTTTCTCGACCGACAAAAAATTTCTCGACCGACAAAAAAATTCTCGATCGACAAAAAATTCTCGACGGAGGCTTGGCATATTAACTCCGCCCACGCTCCTTTAAATCTTGACTATGGCGGTTTGCTTCCTGACCTACACCTCGTCAGAAAAAAGACCGCTAATTAGTGATCATATAAAAGGACCTCTTGTTGCAGCGTTTAGATCACCCCTGATGAAGGCACTAGACAGGAGTGTCGAAACGTTGGGTCTATGAATTGTAACTTCTTCGGTTACATTCATTAAATCTGCAAACCAGAGTAGCATCAAACTATGTCTGATTGTCCACCTGGTTGCCGTTTGAACTTTAATATATTAATTCTCAATCTACCAAAAAATTCTCAACCATTAAAAAAAATTTTTGACCGATGAAAAAGTTTTCTCGATCCTTTCAAATATTTCTGGACTTCCATAATATTTCTCGTCAGAGAGAGAGAATCATTTCTCGACCGAGGAAAAATTTTACTCAATCGTCATACACTCTATTAATAACTCCCCTCACGGGGAGATCACATGCGTTAGCGGTGAACGTGTAAACAAGTGACGCAAGAGGCAGTAAGAATCTAATCAAGAAAATTTGAATATAATATCTTCTTAAACTTCAAAATATGGCCGACGACGATGTGCTTGGTGATGATGGAAGAGAGGCTATTCATTCATGTGTCAAGGTGCATATCTGCAGCCTTGATCCAGAACAAAAAAGCCTAAAGAAATATGATCGAGATACAGCTCTACGAAAAGTTACATTTTGTTATGCAGAAAGCCGTCTTCCAAGATTTGCCTTCTTCGATCCGTTCGCACCGTTTGATTCACGTGAAGGATATGGTATTTCGATAGTGAAGAGAACATACAACATTATTGCAATTTGCGAGGCGCTTTTTTTTTGTGATCAAATCAGTTACGTTGCCAAATACCCGGAAGAATCTGATAGTCCAGCGTATAAAGAAACGAAGGAATTAATCGACAAGCGAAGAGCGGATGTCGGCAAAGAGCTCACGGAGACCCGGCGTTACCCCGATGCACAACATAAATATTCCTGGATTGTCGCGCAGCGCAGAGTGAGGGATTGCTTTTCTGGGAACTTTGCTGGAGATAGAGGGCTTCTAGAACACAAGCCTGCTGGACAAATGTACACGATCACTGAAATTTACGACACCTTTCAGGACATTGATAAACGTGGAGAACTTCTCACCTATCCAGAGGACGAAGGGCCTGGCTCTGAAGAGTTAATAACTTTGATCAATGGAAATAGGGAAAAGCTTATCAAAGAGGAAAAGGAAGCCAAAGAAAAGCCATTTGTACAACGTGAATATTCCCACAGTCAGGCTGAACGTCGATTACGAGATTGTTTCGCTGGTACCGTCTCAGGAGATACTGATATTTTTCCAGAGCGAAAAAATACCTATAACATCTCTGAAATCAAAGCTGCTATTGACAATTTTGATAACAAAAAGTTGATTGAAAAGTACGGAGAAGAAGAAAAACTCGACGATGAAAAGAAAAAGACGGTTGACGATGCAAGGGATTCAATTCAGGCTGAATATGAAAATGCCATCTCAGAGACGGAAGTGAGTTACGGCTCAGGGTTTATAATCCAGAATGGTACTATTGTCACCAACAAACATGTGATTGACGATTATCTTCGCGATAAAGAGAAAAACAGAATCTATATTTCTAATAAAGTCATTGGTGGAATATACGTACCCTGCAAAGTTGCGGATTCGGATCCTCGCAGTGATCTAGCTTCTCTGAATTGTTCGAAACACTTCTGGAAGAAAATTTCAGAAATACGTCCATTGCAGTTGTCCAATGAGCCATTGCTAACCGGCCAGAAGGTTTTCTGCTTCGGCTATCCCACTCATTACCCGGGGAAAAAGGCTCTTTTTGTGGAGGGCAGAGTCTCTGGTGAAAATGAAAAACTGTATGGACCTAAATTAGCCATTATAAATGGTTCACTCAGCCCTGGTAATTCAGGTGGCCCAGTGTTACGTCGGATAGATGGTCAATTAAGGGTGGTTGGAGTTGTGAAAGAACAGCACATCAAACACTTCCTAACTCAAGAACTAATAGAAGAAATGGTAAAAGACAAAATGGATACAGTTACTGTTTCTGATGTGCAGGATGGAGCAACCAGAAGTGACCAGAACTTAAATACAAAAGAATTGACGACAGAAATATATCTTGCAATAACGGGATCACATTCCCCATTCAATTTCGGTAATGTTTTACCTGCTCAATTAGTGTCCAGTTTGGTACAGCGCAATAACGTTGACCAACCTGTCCAGGGGGAATTATAGACTAACATTTTAACTTGTTACTTTGAGTATAAGTATCGTGGTTTGCATATTATTTCTCAATTCATAAAGAAGTTTAAGTGTGTAGGGACTTTTAGATTAAACTACCTCACCTCACCTTTGCATTTTGGTTCTTTTTTGGGACCACTTAATTATAAATCTGAAGGCTTCATGCTTCCAATCTCTCAACTATGCATGCATGAATGCACAATGCATGAACTGCCAAATGAAACCATGGAACATTGGGGGCAGAATGTTTTGTTAGTGAAAAGGCTCATTGTACACAAAGCCACAGACATACCCCTTCTCAAATTCCCTGATTGTCCTTTGCATAGTGTGTTGACATAAGAAAAAACCATTGACAACAATTATCGGTAGTTAATTAATTTGGTGTACTAGTAAATTCCATTGATTTCACTGATTTTGGGAGCTTTAGGATACTGAATCTCTTTACAATGAGGACTGTTAAGATTTTTGGGTCATAGGTACAGTTTACAATTATTGACAGATGTATATCTGAAAAAAAAAAAATGACTGCTGTAAGATTCCAGTAGGTTTGATCATGACCACCTGGAGCTTTGCAAAATGTTCTTTCTTTTATTCAGATCTAGATTTGTCACTATTACTTAAATTTTCTTTGATGTTTGCTGCTCATAGGATATACTTGAAGACTATTTGAGGTTGCAAAATAAGGTTTTCTAGTATTTGGTGAGGAGCATTTGACACTATCTGAACTGGATTAACGATTTAGTACCTCTCTGCTCCAAATACGTTTAATTTGTTCATCATTTAAACTAACTGAAAATATTATATAATTTTCTATAGCATTGAACTATGTGTAGAGGATTGTTCCTAAATTTTATTGAGCTTGAGCTTCTTCAGTTGGTGATCATATCCTTTATTCTCATGACCTTAATGTGATATTTATGGGAGATATTGTAAGGAGAAGTTAGATACCAATCACCCTTAGGGGTGAAAAGGTTAACAAATTAAAGGGGTTGAATTGATATACAAGTAATACCAAGGTGCTGAAGACCTCCAGTGGTTACATTTGTTCATCATTTAAACTAACTGAAAATATTATATAATTTTCTATAGCATTGAACTATGTGTAGAGGATTGTTCCTAAATTTTATAGCCTTCTTGTTCATATTTAATGAGTCTCCTAAAAGTATCAAAGAAATGTATATAAAGTTACTTAAGAGGAGGAAACTCTCAGAATTGAACCCCTAGTAACTTATCAAACATTGATTGAGGATTTAGGATAATTATTTACTAAACTTGAAGTGAATATTTTGAATTCTGCAGGCTCAGTTAAATCAAACAACAACAAGATTTATCTGTGTGTGCAAGGTGTGCAAGGGGCTGCCACAAAAGAAAGAAATTAAATAACACCCAAAATAAAGTAAAATACTTCAACTGATATCTGCTCTATTGGTTAATAAATGATTACAAGAGAAGGTTTAGGTGCCCATGTGATGAATGTATCATGGAAGGAAGTGAAAAGACTAAAGACCAGTTATATGTTTGACAATCTAAATCCCGAGATCTGATTGCAAACTCTCCCTTTGTAAATTAGTTACAAGAATTTGGAGTTAGTTCAAGATAACAACTTCTACCTAATAAATTTGAGTATTCTTACCATATGTTTGCTGGACAATGTATGGATAATATGGGGAGAAGTTTTATCTTAACACTTCTGGGAGTTGAAGGGTAAAGTGCTGACTTGTAACATTGTTTAAAAGAATGAATAAGTTGACTGGTGTCAGAAAACCAAATGCTGCTTTTTTTTTTCGAGGAGAAAGCTTAAGAATAGCCTTTGATGCTGAACAATTTTCTAGAAATTTGTAAAAACATTTTCATGTCAAAACAGACTTTTTGTCCTTTCTTTTTTTAAATAAATCTTTGATTTTAAATATTTTTGAAATATGAAAATAAAGAAAATGTTAGAAAATGATTATGCGAGAGTGATTGCAAACTGCTTTTTTTATTATTGGTTTTCAACGGAAGAGGCATCCTTCTCTGGATAGTCATGATTATGTTATCTAAAATCTTCTACAAAAAATTAAAAAAAACGTTTCTTTTCAGTTGGGGGGAGAAGGAGTGATACTTCTTAGCTGACCTCAGGGTAGGGGTGATGTGATACCCTTTGATCTCACTTGGGGCGTTCAGCATGAAACTCCCCCCTCTTAATTGTCAAGTACTTCAGAGCTACAAAGGAAAAGAACTGATTTAGAACAAAAGAATGTCATTTAAATTTTTATGGAACTTGATCAAAGTGCACATCATTTGAATTGTCAACTCCCAAAGGTGAAAAAAATGCAACTTCTTACAGTATCAATACTAGTAAACGATTGATGGAAATACAGAACCTTTTCAGCTATGAGGTGTAGTCATGATACAGGACCAATTCTTCACAATTCAAATTATATTGAGGAGTAAAAATTTCCCAAAAGATATAATAGATGGAAATTTCCTCCTTTCACATTGCTTCAGCAAGTGAACCACAAAAGCAGATATTAGAACTTCAGCTTGTTAATTGTTTATTGAGTTTCCACGACATATGAAGCCAGGCATCTTTGTGGCTGCTTCAGACATCCTAGTGTTTAATGGTGTTTAACAGTAAAGGAGATTGTTCGTTCACTAAAGCAGGCTTCACAGCTTTGGCTCATCCATCTCCAATTCATATTCATTTGGTATGACCCATGGTGTATTTGTTCTCAATGATCATGAAATGTTAGCATCTGTTTTGGGTGGCTAAAAATGATTTTAATCCTTTTTTTGACTAACACCAATTCTTTGATGGAATGATACTAAGGTAAGCATACTTTTTGATGTGTACCCTTGAGATTGCCTTCAAGCACTTAAGAATTTCTCTAAACTGCATTAATCTTGACATGTGAATCTTGCAAATTCATGATTGAAGATTGGGGCTGTTCAACCATTTTCTCATTCAAGTAGTCGAAACCAGGGGTGTTTCAAAGAGGCCATTGTGCTGCTGTCACAACCTTTCAATATCAAGAAAATGATCATAGCTTTTGACTAATTACTTGGCTTTTATTTTCATTGATACAATTTCTAAGGAAACAAATAGAGTGAAAAGCTACAATAACTATCCTATGGTGAAACCAATTTGAGCCACCTTAATTGTCCAGGCTGTGTTAAGTCATCAACATGTAATTACTTATATTTTGGTGGATTAGCATGTTTTTGCTGACTGTTACATCACTGGTTCTTATTGAAAAATCCAGAATTACTTTCTTAAGGGTTTATTCTTTACAAAATGGTTTGGTTCTTGGAGATTCATTTCTCTATGATCCAATAAATTTGTAGTTCAACATCACTCAATTTCCTTTTTTTGTTATTACTATTTTTTTTTCAGAATTCTAAACTTGAGTATGATTAGCCTGTGGCACATGGAGCTGTTTTCAGTGTTTAAAATCTGTATCTAGTCTGTTTGTTATGCAATAAAGATACTGGATGCTTTGAAGAATGGAACAAAAATTGACAAAGGAAACATTATGCCCATGGGAAAGTAGTTGTCCATGAAGGAGATCTTGAATCTTAAGGACACTGAAAGAACATTGCACATTAGCTGAGGAAGAAAATTTTAGGAACATAGGAGCATGTTGAGTAAATGGAAAGAAATCCTTTTGGTATTGACATGAATGTCTACACCTTCCTTGGGATAAAATTGTTCCAAAAACTTGTTGAATTCAGTTTTCTCAAGAATGCTATTATAGTATTTCTCTCTCTCACTTGTGCTCATTAGTGTTCTAAATTAATATTTAATAATAGTTTTTAATTATTATTCACTCACTCCATGAGTGAATCTCAGTGAAACACAGAGCCTCTTAAGAGCTCCCAGATTAGTATTAAACAAAATGCATCAAAAGTTCATAAAAATGAGGAGAAATCTAATAGATATGAAGATTAGAAGTATGAACATTAACATAATTGTGATTGAAAAGAATTTGGGATAAGTGTTTAGTAAGTTTGAAGGGAAACATAATGAATTATTTGGATGGAGCTTCATCTAAATGTGCATAACAAAAAAGTATTTTTATTAGAATAAAAGCTGACTTTCATCACAAGTTGTGTCTATTTTGTGATAACAGTTACACAGTCATACAATGCGGCAATCAGTAAAAAAGCCTCTCTATTCAAGTTAGGTTTGTTGGTACTAAAGGAAGTTTACAAAAGTTTGCTTTCTGCCAACTTATCAATTTTTTGTGTACTTCTTTTGATTCATGCGACAGCCAGGTTGGAGAGAGAGGCTGACCATAAGTGAGAGGTTTCTTTGAGTTTCAATGCATCTCTCTTCTTATTCTTGTTTTCTTTTGATGTTTTTCATAATGTCCTTACTTCTTGATATCATTCTCAGCAGTTCTTTCACACCCTGAATTGCTAAATGGGGGTTTCATTTGTTAAAGTTTATTCTTCAATGACACAGTCAGGCAGTCTCTTCTGTAAAGATGCAATGGTTTCCTCTCTTTGTTTAATCTTTGGTGTGTTAGTGAGGACAAGTTTTCTCAATTTTCTAAACAGAAAATTTTAAAAAAATCAGAATAGAGGTAGCAGGATAAGTTGAGTAGGAAGGAAAAAAATAGTAAGAATAAAATACAGTATGATTCTACTAAAAAAAAACTTCTGGTACCTACTGTCGATGCACTACGAAGAGAGCAAAAAATAAATTTATTTTGGTTTGCTATTAGCTAAGTCTTGCATTTTTATATCTTGAGGTGTAAGTACCCTCAAAGATTTTGTGCACCATAACCCTTCTTGTAACTGAATAATATCATGGAGCCCTGCCCACCACAATTGTCTTTGGATATCCATTGATTCTCACATACCTAGCAAAGGATTTAAAATTAAGTCTGTGACTGATAAGAATAACCTTCACTTACTTAAGTTCAAAGAGTGGTGATATATCTGATATGGCAACACAGTTCCCAATGTCCAGCTCTTCCAAACTTTCTTTCACAGGAAGAAGTTTGTTCATGTTGGTTACATACACACAGCTGTTAACATTCAGAAGTCTTAGATGCTGCAGTCCATCTGAAAGAGGTGATAACAATGATGATGATGCAAGCATGCTCTTAAAGAAAGAAAAGAACACAAGAAAATTGAGTAATCATTGATTAATGATGGTTAATTAACTAGTGATAGAGATATCGAATTTCCTTTATAATCTAGCGCGTGGCCTAGCGTCTCATCTTTTGTCAGATCCGGAGACGAGGCGTAATCTCTTCCCACCACTCCCACCTTTAAACAATGTATTTTTTATTAGTTTTTTCTTCTTAGTTGCGTTCTTGTTTATTGTCCAGTATTTTGTCAGGCAGTTCTCGCACTGTGCAATAAACTCATTTTGCCCAAACTGTTGTGTCGTCTTGGTAACGTGGGTGATTGAGGAAAAATAAGTGAGGAGACCATGAAAGAAGAGGTAATGAGAAGAGGGGAAAAAAGCAGCCTGAGACAGTTACTTGATGTCAATTCTAATTTTAACAAAGGAAAACAATTTGGAAACATGGTGAATTAGTGGTTAGCATGAGGTCTGCACTTCAGATGCATTCTTGTGTAAGAGACTTCATCCTCACAGTTCTTCAGCCAATTTAGAAGTACAAATGGGCATTAGCAAACTACTGATAGTAGAAATTTTACCAACTGCCAAGAATAACCTGCAGTGGATTCCCACCCTTGTGAAAAAGAGCAGCCGTGCTCCTGGTAGCTTCACGTCCCTGAGACTAAGATAAAGCCTCTGTGGCAATAATAGCCACTAGGCTTTTAAGAATAACCCTTTACATCCTAACATCAGGGTACATATTCTCCATACAGTTCTTTATACATTTCCTAAGGTGCTCACTAGGAGAAATTAATCAATGATCTTGAGCTTCTCCATTTGGTGATCATATCCTTTGTCCTTGTGACCTTAATGTGTGATTTATGGGAGGTATTGTAAGGAGAAGTTAGATACCAATCACCCTTAGGGGTGAAAGGGTTAAAAAAAGGTGTTAACAAATTAAAGGGGTTGAATTTATATACAAGTACAGGGCGTGAAATTAATTCTTTTTCTGATAGCCACTTGGCTCCTAAATTGTTCAAAGTGGTAGCCAATTCAAAAAATATTTTTCGCCATTTCTAAGACAAACAAAACCTTTTTTACGCTGTCATCGTTCTAGAAATTAAGTCAGGGAATAGATATTTAACGTGCTACAAAGTGGACACTCGGATGGATGATATGCAACGTTTAAGCTCAGCTAAATCCAAGATGGCGTCTAGTTATCGATCGAGATGCATGTGCTGCGTTTTGGAAACAAACTTAACGAGGAAGTTTGCCGCGGATTTTTCTTTGCAAATCTTTTTAATTCACTATATCTCTGGGTAAGGTTATGATGAAACATTCTAGTCGCCAATTTGGCGACTACTTTTTAGGATTTGGCCGCCAAAGTGAAAAATTTAGTCGCATTGGCGCCCTGTATAGTAATAGTAGTAATACCAAGGTGCTGAAGACCTCCAGTGGTTACACTTATTCCTTTAGCACTGATTGCTTCAAGAAAAAACTTCCCCTTGGGCCCATCTGGTATGGCATTATAGTTCTGGATCCATTTTTCAAAATTCTTAAATTTGACAGCTCCTCCACAACGTAGTATCCATTCAGCTGCTACCCTAAAACAGCAACAATTATGTAGTGAATGTTTGTTTCCATGTGGAGCCATGAAGCAAATACCCACTGCAGTAAAATTACTGTTAAAACACTCATCAAAACTTAGAGTTTGCAAATGAAACAGCATTCTTTAGCTAACTGGAAAGGATACGATTCGTGAAAGTTTGGAATTGCAAATTAATTCATGACCTCTGAGAAAAATTATGTCAGATCAACTGGCTGTGACGCAAATAATGTGATCTGTCATCTTAAGTTGTCGTCCAGATTCTTAATGATTGACAGATCAACTCGCTCTCAATAACTACAATAAAATAAAAACGAGAGATAATTTAACAGTAAATAAGGAAACCTTACGAGGTATGCTCATTAAATTTGATGAAGGATCGCAATTTCAGGATCATAGTGTTCGAAAACTACATAAATTTTTTGGTTAAGTTCAAAACAAATAGGCGAATCACCCGCTAAAAACCATTTTTACCGATATCTATTACTTTTAATTTCTATGTCTCTGTAAATTTTACGTGAAATGTCACGGTTTCCTACAAACGCTTACGCGGCACTAGCACGGAACTGGGTAAATGCTGCGCATGTCCTCTTTTTAAAAGAAAGGGTGCGGCTTAATAACGTCAGGTGACACGCGAATTGTCCAACTCAGATCTAACTCTTGCTTAGGTGAAAGTGAAACTACATGGAAAAGATTCGTATACGGGGAAACTCACGAAAGGTTTGAAACTTCGAGCCATGGACAGCGGAGATGTACTTGGCAACGATGGACGTAAAGCTTTGAACGCTTGTGTTAAGGTTCAGACCTGTAGTATTGAAAAACTTCAAGAATACGATAGAAAGACTGCTCTTGGACGATTGAGGGGTTGTTACGGAGGTGTTTTTCCACGCGGATTTGAATCGTGGCTTCTATTTGACCCACTCAAGATCTATGATGTTCGTAATGGACATAATATTTCGGAGATAAAAGGATATTACATCAGCGTAATTCATCAAGCCCTTCTTCATTTTGACAAGATGAAGTACGTCGAAAAATATCTTAACAAGGAGAACCCAGGAAGAGAAAATTCTGTTGCAACTATCGAAAAACGAAGAGCTAATGTCTCCAGAGAGATTGAGGAAGCCGAAGTTAACCCTGATGGACAACGCAAGTATTCTTGGATTATAGCGCAGCGAAGAGTTAGGGATTGCTTCGCTGGAAACTTTGCCGGTGATGTGGGGCTACTGAAACACAAGGTTGGAGAGAGGTACTCTATCAATGACATTTTTAACGCCGTCAGAGCGATTGATAACGAAGGGCTACTACTCAAATATCCAGAAGATAAAGGGGATGGATCGAAAGAATTAAAGAATGCAATCGAGGCAAACTGGGAGGAACTTACGAGAGAGTACCAGGATGCCAAAGAAAACCCTTGTAGGCAACGTAAATATTCCCGCAGTGATGCTGAACGTCGGGTAAGAGACTGTTTTGCTGGTACTCTAAGAGAAGATACTGATATCTTTCCTAAAATACGAGACAGCAAAAAGGCCACTTTCAATATTTTTGACATAAAGTCTGCTATTGATAATTTTGATGAGAAAAAACTGCTTGACAAATACCCAAAACCGGGACAAGGCGAAGACGAAAAGAGGAAAAACGTTGATGATCAAAGAGCTGGCATTCTGACGGAATATGAAGAAACCATCAAATTGGTAACGATGAGCTATGGAACTGGGTTTCTCATCGGCAATGGTTTGACTATTACTAATGAACACGTGATCCGAAGATATCTTAATGATAAAGAGAGGTACGGACTCTTCGTTTCTAATGAAATTATTCACTGCCTGCCCACTGAAGTTGTTTTTGTTGATGATAAAAATGATTTAGCTTTACTAAACTGCCCCAATCTTAACTTGAATGACACTGAAATTCGCTCATTTAATTTGTGTGGTGTAGACTTACTAATAGGTCAGTCAGTTTTTTGTTTTGGCTACCCACCTACCCATATGGGAGAAACAGCACTTTTTGTGGAGGGAAAGGTGGCTGGGTACAAGAAAGAACTCTATAAAGAGCCACTGGTGACATTAAATTGTTCACTCAGGCCTGGTTGCTCAGGTGGTCCAGTTATGCGTAGGATCAACCGCCAGATAGTGGTTCTCGGTGTCGTCAAAGAAATACACAAACAAGACATTTTTGAAGAAAATGAAAGAAATTTCATGGAAATTATGAATATGCAGGCAAATAATACTTTCCTCCAAATGGTTCTGAAATTGATAACACCATTGATAAAACTTGTATTTAAACTGCATTATGCCTTGACTTCAACACATTCACCTTTTAACTTTATCAATGTTATACCAGCACAAAAGGTGAAGAAACTACTACAAGACATTGAGGTAAAGATGGCACGTGTCCCAGCACTGTAAACTGGGGTTAATGTGAATTGATTCCCTGCTTTGTTAAACAAAGGAGTACTTCATAAAGTGATACAAGCGTTAGTAACTTGTAACATGTCGTTACTGTGTAACATCATGAAAATAGGTGCCCTCTTTTGGTGGGGTTTTACCAAGTTAGTTTTGTGCTGTTTGTAAGTACTGTAAGTAGGTGTCCTCTTTTGGTGGGGTTGTATTAACTTAGTTTTGTACTGTTTGTAAGTACTGTAAATGTAAAGTGCCCTCTTTTGGTGGTGTTTTATCAAGTTATTTTTGTACTGTTGGAGGGAAAAACAGTAGTAATCACAGTAATATTCACAACGAGTTTCCAAGAGTTTTTTTTTTTCCTGACAGCACTATGATTCAGCTGAACAGAAGTCTTTGTGATTTTAAATTACCAAATAGTACCTTTGAAAAAAATTGAGCTGAGATGTTTAGAAGATGTACTTTTTTCTGTAATGAGCATGGGTAAAGAAAGAACTACGTCTCCTACAAGATCCAACCTCAGATTTGAGGTTTGCTTCCTTGTGGAGAGGTTTTTTTTCTTTGTCTACAGCCACGAGAAAACAAATACATGTAACACCACTGTTTATTCCACAACCAAGGCAAAAATTGTCATCTTTCTTATTCTATTTAACTTAATAAATTTACTGCTATACTTGAAAGTGTCCTAAGCACAGGGTAAATCAAAGGGTGCTGATTTCTATAGTAGTGACTCAAGCACAGGTTTTTGAAAATATTGTACTCAGTTTCAACAATAATAAAATTACCACATAACATTTCTATATGCAAAATAGGAGGTGGTGTGACTGAGTAGATAGGGTGTTGGACTTGTAATCTGGTGGTACCAGGTTCAAGTCCTCCATCCTGCTATTCACTGGAATTGTTCACAGTCACCCCAAGTCTAACTCCTCGGCTGCACTGTGTAAATAGCCAACTGGTCTGCCTCCTGCCATTTGGGATTTTCAAGCACTTTATATTTATTTCAGTCATTGTAAAGTGCTATTGGATAGCGATGGAAATAGTACAATATAAATAAAGAATTATTATTAAGTATTTTAAAAATCTGTTTCTGTGTTTATGTGAAAGTGAAGTTGACCAGGGTTGAATTCTTCAGGGTATAGCTTGATAGAATTACACCTACATCCCCTTGCTACCTGTGTAGTGAACTTGATATCCTTCTACTACACTCACCAAAAGCTTGTCACTCATTCTACAACTAGTTCATGCATTTATTTGCTGTTAAGTCACATGTATCTATTTAGTATCTAACCCTCAATCAATCTTTTCTGATATAATCAACTTCTTAGATTCCCATGACATTTGCAACAACTTAAACGAAATCACTTCTGATCTTTTAAGGTATTAATATCTATTACATTCCAGTTCATAAAATTAGTAGGGATAACATTTCTAAGGGATCGAGTTCGCCAGTAGAATCTGTTCCCAGTCCCATAAAATGAATTTTATTGCTTACAGTACCTGTCAGCTCCAAATTCTTTAATTCGTTCTTCATCAACTCTGGAAGAGATTAACAAGTTACACAGTATTATTTCTAGATGGTTGAAGCTTTTTCCTTAGCAACTCAGTCTTAAGTTTTAAAGCTTCAAGAGTACAATAAGAAAATTGAGACATATCAAACTCATTTAAATCTTAACCTGAAATATTTTTGAAAAAGAAAAGAGGGAAAGAGGGTCCGCAACAGGGTTCTTCAATCTGGTAATTCTGACTAAAATTTTCTATCAATCCCGTAATCCTTATGGTTTATACCAGCCAATTCTGATCCCGATCATGGATTTTTTCTCAGTCCATTGCCTCGACTTAAGAGAGCCTTTTCAGTGGGTAGTGATTTTCTCAACCAGCATTGATCCATTGTAGTCTTTGCTCACCATAAGGCATAAGTTTATCACTTTTCACCAAAATGATGATATTGTTCATTTTAAAAGCTGGAAAAGTTTGCACAATTACATGCACTAGTCATGGTAACCACTTCCTTCCATTTAACTTTGATCACTTATTAGTAAAGACAGCTCAGTATCAAAGAACTAAAAAACGATGTCAACAAATGTATAAAACAACAAAAGGTGACAGCAATCCCATAGTTCCATAATGAGGGAAATAAAGGAAAACTATCTGAACACAATTCTGCTGTTGAAGCGAACACTTCTTCTGAAGCAGAACACTCTTCTGAGGAGAAAAACAGCAAGACTGAATTTCTCTCTGAGCAAGGTGTGGCAGGAGAGTTCCAGATCTTGCCATCTTTGTTTCCTGTCTGACAGAGTGCTGATGCACTACTGCAACAAATCTTTGCACTCAGTCCCCCCCTTCTGTACACTCTGTGGTGCCATTGGTGCAGGTGGTAATGGTTGAATTATCAGTATGGCCAACAGGATCATGGCATGTCCAGGTCAGGATACCAAGAATTTGAATTCATAAAATAATATGCCACCCAATGGGTTGTCTCTTTAAGCCTTGTTTGGCTGCATTTCCAAGGTTTCTTGCATAATCTAACATCATGCAAAGTGTATCTCTGTGATACACATTTAAGTGAGTAATCTCCATGTCTAGTGTAATCGTGCTTGTGGGGAGTAGTGAAATGCAATCCCCTAAAAATGATTGTGTGGGCTAGGCTTTTTTAGACTTTCATGGAATTTGCCCTTCTTGGTTTGTTTCAGTGATTATTTCCTGAATCCTGCCCCTCAAATCACCAATTCCCATGTCCTGTTCATGATAACAATTCCGCATTTAGCTCCCTTCTCATTCTAAAAAACTCAGCAAAATGTACCTGAAAACCAGCTGAAACCCAGCCTTTAAATAAGCTCAATCCCAGATCCTGAAAAACCTATTGGGGACCCTCCACATAAGCACATAATTAAAGGGTCACTTTCTTGGGACTGCAACATGTCAACATATTTGTATAATTTCATAAAAGAGGTTGTGGTTATTCATCATGGTGAATAACAATAAAAGCTAAGTTTTTTCGTTTGTCTCGTGATGTAGTCACATGTGATATAGATTGCAAAATTTCGACTGCATACTGCTAGTCTTCTTCAGGTGATGAGGTCGTGATCTTATAAAGTATGAATTACTCAGTGATTTGCTCCCTCAGTGGTCAGCGGACCACCAAGGGAGCAAATCACTGAGTGAAACCACAAGGATCGAATTGCACCATTCAGAGCTGTTGAAAAACAACTAATCACAGCTGAGCATCATGCTTTATAAGATCACACATGACCAGTCGACCTCATCACCTGAAGAAGACTAGCAGTATGTAGTCGAAACGTCGCGATCTATATCACACGTGACTACATCATAAGACAAATGGAAAAACTTAGCTTTTATTTTTATACCTGTATAAGCTGACAAGTTATTGGTTATTTTGGCCCATAATATTTACCTGTTGAAGACAAAGTTAAGCCATGTGTAGAATGACCTTTTGCCAATGCTTTCAGTTATTCCTTTGACAGCTACATTTCTCCAAGTCCTAAGTAACGTAGGATGCTTAAGAAACAATCAGTTTAAGGTTAGAAACTGTCGTCTTGGGTACATAAAGTTCTCCAGTACTTTTCGCCAGTACTTTTTTCATAGAATATGATATTTTAAGCATTAATAGTCCTAACTCATGATTGTGATTGTCCAAATTTTTGCATGAAGATGAAAGAATATAGCATCAGTATCATCCATGGTAGACTGTCTCATACTGAAACTGGGGAGAGATTGTGTCGTGTGTAAAGGAAAAATGACAACTGCAAAGGGTAAATAAATATATGTGATTAAATCCTCAACTTACACATCAGTAATCTCCTAGTTAGATAAAGGATGAATGAAAAAAAAATTATGTAGACAAATAAACTGCTGCATGATCATTGAGTCCAACTGCCAATATTTTTTTCCACTGCACCAGTATTTGAGGATCAAAGTATAGCAAGTCCCTTTCATGTACAAGTCTTGAGCCTTCTGATCCTCATATCTTTGTGTACTGTCACCCCAATAAAAGATCATATATTTTGATAGGTAAAATAAAATTATGCATGTTCCTTCCAGCTCTTTAGAGCTTGCAATTTGGCTAGTATAGCATGGTGTTATGTTACAGCTGTATGTAGGGCCACAAATATAGTTAACGTTTTCAATTGATATTCCTGAGGTAGCTATAAGAAAAATAAGCGCTAACTCGAAGAACCATAACTATTACCTACATTCATAACACAGAAGTGGAAACCCCTTGGATGCAGCGGACACGATTATACTTTTCTACAAGGCGTTCCTTGAGGATGGAAAAACAATGCAAATGAAGACTGGAATTAGTACGCCGCTGACCAAGGGACATCACGGTCCCTAGTAGACACGCGACTTAAGTAGTAGGAAGATGGCGACTGTGGCGGAGCTACAACGTGACTTAGAATTAGCGAGGGAAGGGCTGAAATCTGTCGATGAAAACATCAAGAAACTTACTGGTAGAGATCCTTCGGAGTTCAGGTAATGCAGGTGGTTTTTCAATGGACGTAATGAACAGCGAACATTGTTGTGCGAATAGTTTCCCTTAACTTAAATGCATCGAATAGTCATTGCTTCTGCCTGAATCTCTTTGTTTTCACCGTTCATTCATTCGTGGAGCTACTGTTTTTAAGAAGCTGTAGGTTAATCACAATAAATGGTTGCTTCCTTTATGTTACCAAAGGTTAGTATGTTTTCTGGATACAGGAAGTCGTAAGGAAATGTGAATTCAGCTGCAGCTGGTTGTCGAAAATAAACAGCTGCTGAAACCGTTGAATCATTTCCTCGTCCCGCGAGAGATGCAAACAGAAGTTTATCAACCTTTAGGCCATGATAATATCTCAAAGAGTGGCTATGTTTGGCACAAGCATCCATGTAATCATTGTTAATGAAATTTAATTGAGCCAAAATTTGTCGATTAAGTAAATTGCAGGAAAACCTCACACACCTGACAACCTTTAGGCTACGTAACAGAGGTCTTGTTGGCCCTGTAAGTCCTAGATTTGTTTTATAACTCTCCCTTCTAGCTGCTAGAGTGCACGAGAATGTAGTTTTACATCAAGTGAAAACTATCTATCTGATGTTTGTTAAATTCTTGGTCCTTCTGTGCTGGATGATAAACATGGATGTACACATAGAAAAACCAAGTATTTCCCATGTGGAGTCAAACTGCAGCCTAATTCCTGATTTTGCTTTACAATTTTTTATCAATCAAGTTGCAGACAACTGATCGATCAGTATAGTTATCGGAGAAAAGCATCCTACACACAGTGTTTGTAGGATCAGCAATATTAAAAGTGATTTATGTGTAGATAGTGTCAGAAGAATTATGAACCGTTTTAAAACAGAATGTGGTGCTTTGACTCAGGCCAGCAGCAGGAAGGCGAGTGTCACTGAAGAGAGACTTCACAGAGAGGAACATTGGACTTGGACAAGGGCCGGCAGCTAAACGACGTGATTCAACTGGTGCACCGGGAAGGTAAGTCCAACCAAGGTACATCTACATGTATAAAGGGCTTTCAGTAAGAGTTGCTAGTCAGCCAGAACTGCAAGCTAGTCTGATATCTTAAGTCAGGAACTTTCACTTTGTTCCACCATGATTGCTAGAGAAAAATTGTACAGTTTTGGAAACATAATTGAAGAAATGTACTCAATAGCCATTTCCCAGTTATGTGTGGAATTGAGTGCATTATTTACCAGTTACAGGTATAGCCAAGTCTTAGGATTCCATGTTCAAAATGTGCTTTGAGATCTGTGTGAACTTTGGAATGCTTAGGACATTTTTGTTTCCCTAGTCTTGTGTTCAATCTGATTAACCAGCGTGGCTTTCACTACAACCTGGCTGACTACTATTTCCCATCTGTCCTCTACTTCCAAACTTATCAACAGTACTCCCAATTTAGAAACTACTTGAGTTATTTTTGTTGGAATATCAAAAGCAATATAAAATTGTACTGGTTTTGTACTACTTGGTTATCTGGTAGGCCTTGAATATTTGTGTTGTTTTAATGTAGCTTAAGATATGTATTTTTCTATCTTGGAAGAAAGAAAGATTATTATTATTATCATTATTATTATTATTATTATTATTATTTTTTTATTTTATTAAAATTATTATTGTTGTTTTTAGTTACACTATTGTAATGTGGGTGATTCTGTAGGCCTTTTTCTGTTATGTCTGCTAAGATAGTTTAGTTTGGAAATTTCCCATTAAATACAAATATATGTGAACTTGATTTAATTCTAGATATCTGTTTTATTTTTTCAGACTCTGGAGCCGAGTGGTGAGAACAAGGACTTCACAAGAGCTGACCCGCCCTTCCTCACGTCTGGATAGTGAAGGCGAAGAAGATGAGGATGATGCAGATAAGGTAAATGTAAATGATCCTTTTTTGTTAAAGCCTGGAAGATTGAATCTCAAAAGTCATCGTGATATTATCTTTTAATGCAGTGAGATTGTGATATTTTGATTTTATTCAAAATTTGCAAAGCAATTTGCAAAATGATGTACTATGTGAAGGGAACTCCAAAACATTGATTTGGAAAGATAAGGAAAAAAGCTAATAGCAGACCAAAGACAAAGAAAGGATTGGGATGGCATCAGCTAAAAAAGATGAAAACAGCTTTCAGCTCAAACAAAATATTCATGCTGGGTTTTTTTTTATTTTTTTTTTTAGTTATCTTGTTAACACAATGTTTTTGTTTCGTGTAGCCTGCTATCCAGTCTTCAGTTGTAGCCACACCCACACCATCTCGCCTCAAGAGAGACACCATCACAAAAACAGATGACAAAACAAAGTCAAGGTCAGTTGAAAATCACCAATTATTTGGCAATTGTTTAATGCTGTCAAGTTTTTTTTTCCTTGTTTTATTTTTTGTGTTATTTTGTGAGTAAAAGTCATCATTTCTGTAAGGTGTGGGACTTCTGGTTAGCTGATTGTGGTTCATTTTAGCTGATCTGAGACATCTGAACTTATTTGTTTCTTTTCAGAAATAAGAGAATGTTTGGCATGTTGCTTGGAACTCTACAAAGGTTCAAAGATGACAGTGCTCAGAAAACAGATAAGGTAATTTCATAAAATTCGCCAAATTTGAGATAAATATCTCTAACCAAAACACTCATGTTTTCATAGGTAGTCAAGCTTTTTTATCGGTTATGGAGTGTAAAAGTGACTGTCATAAATTTATTATTTATTGAGAAAAAAATTGGTGTTGTTTTCATTCATTGCTTTACCTCCCCCTAGCATCAGTATACATATTCTCTACACATTTCCTAAGATGCTGACAAGGAGAATATGTTCAACAATCAAGAGCTTCTTTAGTTGGTGATCATTTCCTTGATTCTTATGACCTTCATGTTTGATTCAGGGGTGATATTGTAAGGAGAAATTAGTTGCTAATCACTCCTGGGGGTTAAAAGGTCAATGTTCCCTCTTCAAAATAGCCAACAAACACATCCTAAATTTGTCCATAAGAAGAACAAAATAGGACAAACCAAATCTAACCTGGAAGGGATTTCTGCTGTTTTATTTTTGCCAGGAAATAAGGAGAGAGGAAATCAATAAGAAGCTTGAAGAAGCTGAACAGAAAGAGAAAGAAGAACTGTCATCTCAAAGAAAGGAGTTATTCACAGAAAGAAGAACAAAACAAGCAGCACTTAGATTGTTACAGAGAAAAGTTGATATGGCTGAATTGGTAGGAAAGGAAAAAAATCCTGTTCCAAACTTGAGACTTTTTTTAAGATTTGATCTCCCTATAAATTTACAATGGTTAACTGATTTTCTCCTTTGGCATAATGTAATACACTCTTTTTAAGAAAGAAACTGTTCTGGTTGAAAGAGGGCTATTGCAAAAATGGAAATCCACGGTTTTTTTTTTTTCTTTTTAAACATTATTGCAAGAGTTGACTGGGAATAAAGTTGACCACCTTGATGCTAGTCATCCAGATGAAGACACCTTTGCATCTTACTCAGTAATTGGCAGGTGTCCAATCCCTAATCTAAAGAAATCAATTGTTTTCCTTTTGCAGCAAGAAGAATGGGATAAACATGGTGAAAAATTAAGTCACTTTATCATGACCAAAGCTAACCCTCCCATCTTCTACCTTCCGGCCAAACACAACGATAAGACACAGAAACTCCTGGAGGAATCTACAAGAACTGTGAAAAGTAATCTTTTTGTTATTCTCCCATTATGATTTTCTCTCACTAGCCTTACAGTCCCATTTTAAGATGACTTCCTTGTTTCAAGTAGGAGACACAATGGCATAATGTTAGCAAGCTGGGCTCCATATTGAGAGGGCCGTGTCAGATATCAGGGTGTAGAGGGTTAAAGACCTCCTAGTTCTCCATGTCATGAAGGTGCTGCTCCAGTATCATACCCTAACTGGTTTGTGGAACTTAATTCCACCAACCCCTGTCTCCATTTTGAAGAATCAAATAACAACATGTGGTGCAACTGAAACAGCACATTATGGTGTAGCTTTTTGTTGACTCTACAGTCACCACCAAACACTTACTGTTTAACTGTTGTTTTCAGGAGCAATGGCTAAAAGAAGAGCAGAAATAGAAGAGGAACAAGAACTAGAGGAAGAGCGAATGAAGAACACCAGGTTGTCTGTATCTAATGAGGGTGAGATTGAGAGTAAGGGGGAGAGAGTTGAAAGCACAGACGGTGGTAGGGATGTGGAAATGAAAGAAGAGAGTCAAGAGGAAGTACCTGGGAGACAAAGAAAGAAAAGTGAGGGTAGAGATCCTGAGAATGGGGTTAAAGAGGAGAGGAATATTCAGGAAGAGAGACACGCTATAGGGGTAGAAAACATGGAGGAAGATGTGGGAGAGATAGACTAGTTGTAAGTCAGATAAGAGAATGTGACTTTTTGAAGCTGAGCCGAGCTAAAAATACACGAATGGAGGTTAGTTTCCCTTGCATACCATCCCTTTATGGTCAGAATTAATTATAGTTAATTCTATCCTTTTGCACCACATGTCATATTCCCATCTGTTCTCTTTGGTTTTTATCAATGCATACTGGAACATCTGTCTTACAAATTCACTTCATGCCTTTTCCTGGCTTGTCTACTAAACTTCGACTGACATTTCATTAAAAATTTTCCCTTTAGTGACTAAAACTAATTAAAATTGATTTTCTAGTTCAAAGACTACTCGGAGTTAATTTGAAAAAAAAAGAACTAGGAGAAAAAGTAATTACACCCACAACACAAATAATGACTAAGGAATATTGTGACACAAAATTCTCTGGATCACAGAACAAGCCACACATTGGCCATATAACTTGTCTCTAGATGCGGAAGATAGCATGCTTTGGGCTTCTTGGTTACAGAATTAGAAAGACTAGGTTCTTAGCTGTCACAGGAAATTTTTGGGTATAAATTGAACTGAGGGGATAAATGGATAGGAAGGCTGGCTTCTACAACTTAACTCTCTAGGAGATTTCTGCAGCAGATTTGGTGAAATGTAAGGTGATCAATTATTCATGGTTGACTTATATCTTGTGGAATTTTACCCTTTGTTGTCCCTGTTTGCTCAGCTTATAGGAAGGCAGTATGCAAGCTTTGGAATGAATGTTGTAAGTGATTTCAAGTGAATTTTGTAGAGATTTCTAAAGAGGCAGACATAGAGAGAAAGAGAGACTTGGATTTGTGTAAGCATTTATGGAAGCCTTTCAAATATTTCTTTTTGACTGTTCTATTTCTTTCAATTTTGAGTTCTAGCTTTTAGTGACATGCATTGTAAGTCACCTTAAGTTTACAGTTGTGAGTGTGTTTGTTTAAGAGGTGCAACCATCATCAATGTGATGCACTTCATTGAAGAGGACTTCCATCTTCGACCTTTTCGTGTTTGTTTTGTAATCTGGCTTATCAATAAAATGCTGTGTAATAATCCTTACCTTTTTTATGTTGAAAGACAATGTTGGATATTAGTATTAAAGGTTTGCAAAGTCATTTGCTTAATTCTTTTGAATGAAACTGTAATAAACTATTAATATTTAATTGTTGTCTTCTTGTGTTTGGAGATTGTCCTCCAGTCCCATCCTAACCTGTGAGAAGGCCTTTATTATTAGCACTGCGGCACAAGGGTTTCTTTTCCTACATGGAAGTTTGAGTCCTAACAGTTCTGGGGTAACTTCACAAGACAAGCTGTATAAATTGCAAAATAAAGCAACTTGAGTTAAGCAATTCTCAAATTATGACGCTGATGCTGACCAAATATTAGAAATTTGGGCGTGGAAAAATTTGTATGAAACATTGTGTTGTCAGCGGAACATACAAAAGGCCACCATGGCATTTAAATGCCTACTTGTATACTTGAGTTATCTCCGGACAAGTAAATCTCGAGACTCTCTGAACGCATTAAAAGCTGAGGGACTTTGAGAACAAACTTGGTAGTCAATTACCACGCACAAAATATTAAAAAATATGTTAATAGTGGTGCCACATTGCGGAATATCTTTCCTTGCGAGGCTCTGAGGTGCGCGGAATCCCTCGGGTCTTTCATACGGGAGGTCAGCAAAGCCCTCTATGGCACGGTAGTCATTGATATTTACCGGTAGTGTAATTAATATTATTTAACCCTTGAGTAAAGCGACTTGACAAAAGGTCTGGAGTGAAGGGTTTAAAGCCCTCACCCCTAATTGTCTCCAGTCTTCGCCTGGGTGAGAAACGCGCCTACTGCAGCACTAATCATGATCATGATCATAAATGAACTCCCATTCCCAGGTCAGCATGCCCAGCAGTCTTCTCCATTTCCTTTCAGCAAAGGAAAAGAGTGCCAAAGTCACATGAAGGCATGGAAAATGGCTCACTCTGTACGTACTTCACACTCAGCTCAAAGGATTTAAAAAAAGAATCCTTCACAGTTATTCGCAGGCAGCTAAGGTCGTCGGGGGGAGGAAGGGAAGGTTAACGAAATAGAAGTTACTGGGTCATTGAGACGTAGATACCCCGTAAATTGGCTTCTTTAAAGGTAAAATTTCCGCACAGCCCCATACTATTGTTAAACAAATCTGTTTCCCCAATGGCAATGTATTGTTTTTGTCTTTGTTTTCTCTATCCAAGAACTGAATGCATAATGTAGTATGGGGCTGTGCGGAAATTTTGCCCAAAACAGAGGTGGCCTGGAGCGAAATCTAAGACAAAATGGCGGAAGAACTGTCGAACATTTCTAGACTTATGTTGATCCAGAACTGTCAGTGAAATGAGTTGCACGAGTGCACACGCTTTCGACGTTAGGAGACAGTGCCTTGAAATTATCTCAGACATAACAAATAAACAGGAAGACTCGTCGGTAGACGATATAAACCTGGCAAGGAAATGGCTTCTCTACTATAGAGAGGTACCAACAAGACTTCAGGGAAAACTACCGCGGTAGGCCAAGCTATCTATCGGTAGGATCGTTGGAAATAGCGTCGATCTTAATTTTTAAGATCCCAAAAATGAACTGAAGGTTCAAAACTGTTATTCTTGGCAGGTGTGGGTTGTCAGCTGTTAGCATGGCAGCGGAATTGATAAATTTAAAGAGAATAGTGGGTGATGACAATGCTGTATCATCTGCACAGAAACCGTACGAGGAGGAATTGAACAACTTACTGACATTGGCAAAATCCAGAGGTTTTTCTAATCAAGGAGAAATGTATTCGGCAGAAAATCTTGCTCATCTTGCTGAGGAGTTTTATGGTGTGAAATGCTCAGTCATAAGTAATGCATTCGAGGATCAACACTCCACTGTCTCTCAATTACTTAAGGGATCAGCTGTGCTTGTCCCGTATGATGCTGATAAGAACAATAAACCCTGTTTGGAGAATGGCCACCGAGCCCATTGGGCTTTGCTCACAGGTTGGTTTTGATTCTGAATTTATGTTCATTAAATCAGTGACACAACAAGATTACTACAACGTAAGCCTCAGTAGAAAACTAATATTTTCTTGTATTTTACACAGTACACTAGGCTTGATAAGCAAGACTTTTTTTAAACCCCTAATTCATTTTCCACCTTGACCAAGAATGTATAACATTCAGAAGAAATACTTTGAATATAGTTTTGGTATAGTAACTAACTTACTGACTTCTACAATTCCAAAACTTTTCCAATCTTGTTTCCTTTGTTTGATGATGTTGTTTCTTGAACAGAAAATTGCAAGCAATTAGTACCTGCAGTAGCAGAGATTTTGCAGGCCAGAAAAAAATTAATAATTGCCATTTGGCACTATGGAACTCCTGCTGGTGTTAAGGGGGAAATTTTAAAAAACTTTTGCAAGTGATGAGCTTTGTAGCATTGAAATATGTTATGCCCATTTATTTTATCACTTTCTGTGCAAGGGCAACCTTAAAATTTGTGACTTCATAGTTATTCAATAAACTTAAGATAGAATGGCACTCACATTGGGCATTTATATTTTTCCTCTCAAAGGTGTCTTGTGTGAACTGTGCGACAACAGCATCGACTGGACATTGTTTGAGCAAGATGTTGATGTTCCCATGTTATTCTGTGTAAGTCCATTACAATCATTTGCCTTACCCCCTAATTGTAAACTGGGACATGTTTACTTTTGTGTCAAGCATGGTAAATCAAAGCACACAGCTGTTTGGACCCTTGAGAGTTTAAAGAGTAGTAATGCAAATCTTTTGGAACTAGATCCGAAACGAAGACTAGCTGGGAATTGCATTGTTCCCAGAGACGACCTAAGGGTTGGACTGTGTCAGAAAATTGTACTTATGTCTGGAAAAAGTTAGAAAATTAAGTAGCAATAATAAGAATATACTGAACAAAGATATTAGATGTCAACAAATTTATTTACCAGTTCTGAGTATTGTTTGACCTAAAACAGTTCTATACGATAACAAGGAATTGAATAAAGTATTTTAATTTACAATATTCAGTATTTATATTGGAGTATTTGCAACGAAAAGGTCAAGACAAAGATTAAAGTAAAAAACCCAAAAAAAATGATATTTTTAAGGTATTTTTCTCACAGTTTAAACAATTGTGACCTTAGAATATCAGTGATTAGAAAACATTAACAAAATGCCTGGCATTGACAACCAACAGTTTGCCACTGAAGACAAAAATTTCCCAATCATTGGTGGAGGAAAGGATGACTGTATTAAGCTGTAGTTTAATACTTTGCCAGGCCAAAAAGGTTCCCATTATAAGTTCTTTTAAATAAATGCTGGTGTCCTAAGGCTTTGTAACTAGTTTACTACAAAGTGATGACATGTTTTTTTTTTTCCTATAATTTTGTGCATTGCTTTTCAACGTATAGCTCTAAATAACAAATACCCCAAAAATAAAATCAAAAACTCAATTTGAAAGTTAATTTTAAATTATTTCCAAAAAAGAAAATTATTGTAACCCTGAAATAGGCCAGCTATTCCTTCCTACTATTATATGGTTACTTATTTTCCCATCATTTATTCCTTTGCAAATTCCCATTGAAACAGACCTCTACTTTGATCAATTCCAGCTTGATGCTAACACTAAATCATTGATTCCCATGTCATTCACCTAACACAACCTTAGCAAAATCCTAATGTTTTGTCCATTTAAATTTCCAAAGTGAATATAGTTTAAGTAAATGCAGTGCATCCACTGAAATGAACTTGCCCATGAGAAGCGTACAATTCAGCCTGTACCTCTTCCCTTAACCTGCTGAGGCACAAAACTATTTGGGTACAAAAAGGTTTAATAAACTCTGTTGTCAGGAGCTGCTAAGTTTTAGGATGAATATACTAAAATTGTAACTTACTTGTCATTGCAGGTTGTGAGTGAATCATTTAGTGTCTCCCTGACGATTTTTTTAATTGATTAGCATTAGACAAGCTATATTAAGATTTTAGAAGGCTTGTGTTTGGGTGTGGCTAACCAATCTGTTAGCAGCCATATTACTTTTGACCACACTACATGGCAAGTTCTCTTTATTGATCAAGCCAGCCACCATGTTGATAATACCTTGTCCTTTTTCACATGCTCCACTGCTTGTAGCAATTTTGATGAGAATTTTACTTGTTTTCTCTATCCTTTTATATCGCTCCACCAAAATTTGTTCTTTTTCTGCTTTTCCCCTCGTCAGGAGCTGCTCTCTGACTTTCTGTTTCCTGCGAAATTCTCGGCTGCACTGCTTGTTCCGCTCTCTTCTTTTTCTTTTCTTTTCTTCCTGTTTTCTCTGACATGAGAATTACAAGGAAAGGTTTACTTACAAGTGGAAGTCAGATGTTTAAACCCTTCAAAAAAGGGGTAAATTTTTTTTGGAGATTAGCAATGACACGTCC